TCCCACCGCAAACCGAATTACCTCTCGCGCATTGCAGCATCACGTTGCACCGCGGCAGAAAATAACATCTGAGGTTCTGGCATTTCAAAGCGGTGACTAACTCGTCCAGCACTAACAGAACATGACGCGAGAGGGTATCGGGCGCCCAACACGTCAGTGGATCCGGCCCGGCCCGTTCCAGAGACCAACGATGCATCGTTCTCAGTATATGCCTGGAGACAACTCGCAGGCGATCCTGCGGAGGAGGATCTCCCTTCCGGGTCGGCTGAAAAACGAGCGAATCGGTATTCCTCGCGTGCGATATTTCGAATACTCGGTTTGAAATAATAGAGCATTCATTGAAATGTCAGCCGGTGATCACGGGAAGCGGTAGGAGGAAGTCGTTTCTCGCGCGAGTACAAGCCCCCGCAACAAAACCGAAAGCTAAGGGGGGGTGGACGACGGCAGGGATGGAAATTTTTCAAATCGATTCAACTTTTCTCATTACGTATTCACCGGCGCTGCGTGTTCGGTTGCCGCGGCTGGCCCGGATAAATTATTGCCGAGTCGCATCCAGCGGCAGCGTTTTTATTAAATAGCCAGGGCTCGAGTGGCGCGTCGGGAAGAATAGGTTTTCAGCGTCGACCCCGAGACATCTGAATCGCCGAGGGGATAGAAGGAGGACGACGTGGCAAGGAAAAGGGGAAAGGTCGGCGAGAGACGGCTCGGTTGTGTTACGAGAAATAGGCCAGAGAATCGGAGACCAAGTGAATGCGAAGCGCGGCCGAGCGCGACGAGATGCTGCTGCGCGCCGCTGCAGCCGGATACGCGCGCTGAATTATTGTCGGGGCGTCGCGTGAAATCAGTCGTTGTCGACGACGCGCGAACGTATGAAACGCACCAGATATTCTCATAGATGAAACCGTCAAAGACAGGGGATAGGAGGGCCACCGGAATACTACCGCGCTGGCTGTCGCCCGAGAAAGGGAAACAAATGATACGCCCGATTGAATCGACGAAATAAAATCCGCCGGGAGGAACTGAATTTGTCGTGCACTCGGTTAAGAATGGTTTACCGCTGCTTGTGTGTCTCGAGCTCGCGGAGTATACTACTTTCCGAGGGTGAAGGAGGGCACGCGTGAGCAGAAAAATCGCGAAGCGTTAATAGAACCATCGAATAAAATGAAAATACGTTGAAGAAGAAGAAGAAGAAGAAAAATAAGAGTCGTGACTGCGAGATTATTTAGTATCTTGAACAAACGTTGAATCCCACCTTCGACTTCATAGGCGGATTCAAGGGACGTCCCTCGCGTAGCTGGTGCAAGATTTCTATGAGCGCGGACTCCGTCAGGCCAGGTACACTGTCGGCGGCATAGTGTTGACTCATAATTTTCTCTGCTGCCGGAACACGTATACCCCAGAGAGTTGCTCGGTCCTCGCAACGTGCACCAGGGTACGGTCCAACGGCCACAGCGTACATGCCCTGGAATAGTGACGAGGAAACGAGGGCATGAAATAATACGGGATCTCCGCTTTGTAGAAAAATCTTCTACACCGAGACATCTATCTTTCGTAATCAGCACGCCACCGAATTTACTGGCTTCGCTCGAATCAAACGTGAAGACGCAAAGAACTTTGAATCGGTTCACTTACGCTTTGCACCACGGTGTAATGAAGAAGCGCGTCACAGTGGTAGAGAGGCAACCTTTGAGGATAGTCAGCCGAACTGGGCCAGGACGACAGCCCTATACCGATTAACAATCTAACTTCCACCTCCCGAGACTTGCATCCGTCCAACGCTATCCTTAAAAGTATCCCTCCAGAGTCTTCGATCAAGACCACTCGATGATCCTTTGGTTCCGGCAATGGCCCATCGGAAACGGCTACAAACAGCGATTCAAGCTCTGAACAGGTCACGCGATCCCGTGAAACGGTAGCAACCCGATGCCTCTAAGCAGCCGCTCGTTTTTCCCCGAGATTATACCCCGCATTGTTAAAAATCGCGTCGTTATCCAGGCCCGTTATTTCGCGAGACGGGGCTCGCGTTGATTTACGAGGCATTCTTTAATCCAGTTACACGGAAACTGGGCATATTTCGCGGTGCTCGTTACTCTGAATCCTCTGCAGTAGTTATTAAAACAACTTTGCCCGAGCGTCCCGTTCTGATTTATAGAACACTCGGCGTGTATCGAATTACCGAGTTGCTTCGCGCATCGGTTATTTAATACAAAGATGGGAGGACAACGCTGCGGCGAAGACGAACGAAAGGGATGAAAGGGGAGACGAGAATAGGAGAAAGATGGGGTGACGTCTGGAAGAAAGTTCGGAGACACGAGCGCGAAACGTCGGATGATAGCATGACGTTGATAAGGGATGGAGCTGAAGGGTGGGTGGCGCGCGGACCGTACAAAATGAGGAATTCGGCTGGATGATAACGAGGCGGTGAGCATTTCGTTCCTGTTTACGATTCCCGGCAGCGAGCCGCTTTTGTTGCCCGCAGAGATAAACGCGCGGTAATATCTCAAGATGGGGAAACGCTTCGAGGCTTCAACGTTATCCGCGGCAGAAATTTATCGTACACTTTTATCGTCCTTAATTAACGGCGGCATTTAAGTTTCCCGATAATTCAAGAACACGTTACCAGGCCCGTAAAATATCCGACAGTGGTCCGGTTGCTTCAGTATTTTGTCGAGGACCTCGGCGTCGACCACTTGCCCCGGTGAACCGCAAACTTTCGCGTCCGTTGGGTCGACGTTATCTGAAAAAAAAGGAAACAAGAAAATGAATTTGGGAAAACGACGACTCCATAGATCGCGTGACGTAACCAAAATCGTCCGACAAACCGCTACACCGCCGAGCAGAAGGTACCTCGTTTAATAGCCGTGGCCAACAAATTCGCTAATTTGGCTTTCACGAGATCTCTTCTCAATCTTCCAGCAGCATCCGCGTACTCTCGCCAGGGCTTTGCTCCAGCGTCGAGTATCTTTAACCGAATAAAGCCCGGCAGACCTGCATTCTCCTCGATGCTCACCCTTGAGACTTCGGGCACGGAACTTGCGGTCGGGGTAGACAGCGCGTCTATGCGCAGCAAGTATTCGAACTTGAACCGCTGAACAGAAGAAAAATAAAAGCTGACGTGATGGATCTTTTGCGCCTCTTTCTCGCGGAACGTTTCTAAACTTCTCGACTTTGCGGCAGTTGTTACGATTCCGTCGGCTACCCGAGACTCTCCCCCACCTGCGGCCCTTTTACCTTCATTCGTCGAGGCTCGTTCAACGAAACGAGAAACACAGACGAGAATCTCCGGTCCAGATTGCCGGCGGCCAGCATCAAACGTTGAACCAATCTCTCGACGATAGCTTCGATCGCGGTAGTGCTCGAGGAATCTGTAACACAGTCCCACTCTCGTACAACGAACGACTGTAACCAAAAAAACAAAAAAAGGGGGGGAGGCAGAAACAAAAGAAAGAAATCGACAAGTCGGGCGACCGCCACCGATACAGTGTACGGAAGGTTCGTTCCCGCATTCGATATCCCTGCGTTTGTTCGCCGAGCAATCTTTGCCGTGGTTCGTGTCGAATCGATGCGCAAGATTTATGGAGAAACTCGTTAAACATTCACCGTTTTGAGCCTCCTCGGCCAGTTTGCGGAAATATGCGTTCAGGTTGTGTAGCTGACCCTTGGTGAAAGCAAGCTTCGTGGCCATTAATCGTATACCGCCCTTCGTGCACGAAGGCTCGCTAGGGGAACAGCCCATCCTCCTCTTCTGGGGAAACAAAAATCACGGATAACTGAATTTCGTGCATGACTCGGTGTAGATGCATGCGCTACTTCGGCTCGAGTAAAATCAATGCTTTCCGGCTAAAAGGGGAGACAGAAACGGTATTCAGAACGTTCGCCGTTCGTGCGGAAACGCGTCCGTTGAATTTGATTTCCCTGGACCGATAAGAATCGTTGCGGAAAGCCGAGAGGCGAGCGGGAAACGCGATAAACCACGTGGGAGGAGGATCGAACTTCCGAGGCTTAATAACGAAACGTTCGTTAAATCACGGTGTCGTTGCTTCGCGCTCTCCGCCGTTGAACAACCGGAACTGTTTCGAAACGTTTTAAGGAATTCCCCCGGAATGCAGATTCCCCGCTTTCTCGGCGAATTCCGTGCATACGTCTCTGTCAGGCTTGCCGCTGCACGGCTGCGATCGCGACACGCCACCCCCTTTTTTTTCGCGCGCTCGTTTCTCTCTTTTTACACAGCCCCGTCGAAACGTTCCGGTGAACGTATTCCGTTGCACGATCTAATGGAGTAATTAAAAGAAAAAAAGGTTGCAGCTGGCTCGATACATCTATGAATTCTACGTCTCGCGGGACAAACGGAGCAGGTCGGATCTCTGTCACGAGCAGAAAGGATTCCGTTCGATTTACTGTTAATACGTACGTGGAGAGCGACGGCGAAGTCACAGGCATAGATCCACGGCAAATACTGAACGAACGCTATATCACCGAGCAAAGCCACCGGGTGACGTTTCCATTCCATCCGGAAAGATATTGACGCTTCGCGATCGTGACCATGTAAATGCACCGAACGCCAATTATTATTCAGCGGATCGGCTAACAATGCCATCCCAGTGTGTTCGGTCACCGGAATTACTTCCGATCCTGATTGTGTGCGCTCGACTTCCGCTCTCGTGAACGCGTACCCGTCTCACCTATACATTATGCTGCTGTTACCCTCTGTTCCTCGCCACTTTGCTCATACACATGTGCACGCACGCATACTTATACGTATAGAGTTTTCGATTCTTTACAAAAACTTCTCGCGTAAATACGCAGATGGGTAAATGTAACGACGAAATTGAATTCACGATTCTTCAATTAAGCGATGAATTAATTCGTCTTCCTCTGAGTTAGCGAGTTAAGCTGTTGCGTAATATCTTCGAAGACTTAACGTTTTTCCAATTTGAAAAGCAACATCGGTGAATTCTGAAATATAGAATAGGCGGATTTAACTTTTAAGAATTGATAAAAATCTTTTGATAACTAATACCTTATTATTGGCTAGTTCTTTTACAAGATATAGAAAACGTCGAGTCCAATTTGCTGCCATCTTTTTACCGATGTTTTTGGATAATCAACGACCGACAAAATAATTTCCCCATGCAATTTTACCACTGTTAGGTACAGATATCTGGAAAACAAAATAATACAGTAGTGACATCTTCTAATGAAAGTAGGAAGCGTTTAATTCATTGATCTAGGGAACTTAATCCATGGGAGGTTGAGGTCCTCGCGATCGCAAAATGGCACGCGGATAGTAAAAATTATCAAGAAATATAATAAAAAAATATTCACGGCGAACGATCGTACGAATAACGATGGCGTCGGCTTACGTTAAAGACGAGCAAGGTAAAAATCGTTTTTCCGCTTTGCTAAAAAATATAGGTATTTTCAACAAATGAACTATTTATAACCTGTAGGATGTAAACAACCTATATTGCTCAAAATGTAAGCCGCATTCTGATGCTAATTCTTCCTATACCATTAACTAAATATTAACAGATTTATGTAATATAAAATAAATATTTGATTTTACGTAACTTGATGGGACTTGTGTAAAAGAAATATTTATACCTTGGATCCATGTTGATTCATAAAATTTATTCTTTCTTATTGCAAACATTCTCATAGGTGGAACATTCATCCCTGCTAGTCAACGTCCAGATGGTACGTGGCGCAAGCCACGGCGTGTAAAAGATGGATATATTCCACAAGAAGAAGTTCCATTGTATGTGATGATTTGTCAGAAAAACTATATTATCATTGTTTGTTTAGAATTCAGCATCCTCATCATTGTCTTTTCAGATATGAAAGCAAAGGGAAACAAATAAAAAATAAACCCTTATATCCGGTAGGTGCAAGTCCAGAATTCATAGCTGAGCATAAAGCTAAAAAGGAAATGCTGCTGGCAGCCAAGGCTAAAACCGTTCCTGGTGCACCAGTGAAATCAGAAGTCAAAAAGAAGAAGAAAAAAAATAAAAATAAAACAATGGAACATATAACAGAAGAATTGGCTAAAACTATAATTTCACAACCAGAACAAAAGAAAGAAGCCTTGCAACAGAATAACAAACCAGAATCTAATGCGAATCCAATACCAAATAATCAAATCTCAACAGAAAAACCAAATGTGACTGACCAGTCTGAAACTGCTACACCAGATCCACTAAAAAGATTAAAAAATTTAAAAAAGAAAATTCGAGAAATTGAGACTTTAGAAAAAAAGATCAAGGGTGGATTATTGAAAAATCCAGAGAAGGAAATACTTGATAAGTTAGCGAGGAAGGCTGAGATTTCAAAAGAGATTAAACGATTAGAAACAAGTCAATAAAAAGAAAAGGTTGATAAAAAATCTATTTACACACTATCATGAATCATCACTCTGTAGCTGTACCTAAACAAATGTGTGTTTTTTAAATTTTAAAACAATTCGACTACAGTTTTATGCAATGTCGTATTTTCATCCACTTTATACAGTAAATAAATAGCAATATAAAAATGTACATTTATATGTGAAGATTCAAATTGAAACTAATGAAATTTAGTACACTATTATGTCACTGTGTGAAAGACCAATCAGATTTTAATAAAAATAAATTGTTTTCGCATACCACATGTTATTATTCTTGTCACCAGAAATAAATATTATAATACTGAAATACGAATTCATTTTAATTCACCGCACAATATCTAAAACTATTCAGTATTCATGTGACTTGCTTCACGTTTGAATGCTAGGGATTTTATACTTTGAACGCACTGTTCGACTGTGTAACTAACTTGTATACAATCGCCTGTTGTACACAACAAACGTGGAAAATGTTCACAAACGCGTTCTAATTAAACGTTTCAGTAATCCTTTATTCTTTATGAAATGCACGTACGTACATGAAACTTGTTAACTTTTACTTTTATTTCATATAATTAAGTTTCGAGTCAAAATGAGATTGAGTGAAACTCAATCGACCAAAAGATCGCGGTCCAGATTGAAAGAAACATTCGTTGGTTGACTGACGGTGAATGAATAATTAATGAGATCGAATTAGTTAGAACTCAATGCCTCTCGGCAGCAAACCTGAATGTGTTAAGTGTGGGACTCGAGAGACCCCGCTTTGGCACTCAACTGAAGCCGGTAACCTTTGCAATGCTTGTCTCGAGGAGGAGAGAAATTCCGAAGCGAATTCAACTGCGAAAACCGAGGATGAGGACAAGGGAGGTTCGTTGAGGCCTACCAGGAGAAGTACAAGGATCACGAGATACTGTAACTCAAAGTCTGCTGGACCGCACAAAGTAGTACCTAAAGGGAAAGGACGAAGAAATTTATTCAAAAAAACTGTATGTTCATAAAAAATTGTTAGTCATCGAAAAACTACATTCTACCTTGTTTCTTTATTTTATTTCTTTTTTCCTTTAGCCAGTTAAAGCACCAACAGCCACAGCAACTCCGGTTACAAGTAATTATGTGTTCTATAAAGGCACTTATTTTCAAGTGGGTGATATAGTCTCTATGCAAGATATCGATGGAGGAATTTATTATGCCCAAATTCGTGGCTTGCTCACTGATCAGTACTGTGAAAAAAGTGCTGCTGTTACTTGGCTCTTGCCTACCACAGCAAGGTATAATATATACATATCTTTATTTCAATTAATTCATTACTCTTAAGAAGAAAGAAAATAATGATAATATGTATGTATTTTGTTTCTAGCCCACCACCGGATGAAGGGTTTAGTCCTGAAACGTACATTATAGGTCCAGAAGAAGATCTCCCACGTAAACTGGAGTGCATGGAATTTGTAATGCATGCACCATCAGATTACTATAAACTAAAAAATACACCATATCCACCACCACTCACAGAAAGAGGTACCGGATATGTATGGACTACACTTAGGAATGAAATTGCTATATCTAGAAAATAATGTTTTATTTTGTACTTCTGTTATTGTAAAGCTGTTAATCAGATAATCCTTGTGATTCCTTGAAAAATAAAAGTTATCATGCAGAATTATAATATTTATTTAAATTTTTTTTCTGATACAATATAACATTGATATCTAACATTTTTGATAATTGAATGAGAAGATGTTCACAAATAATATAACATTAAAGATACTTCTTTGAATATAGCAAAGAAAATGCATTTTAAT